TATTAGCTGTACAAGTACTATGGTAAATTATGAAGTCTAAATATTGAATGGTAAATAGAAGGAGTATGTGAATATTTATATGCTCAAAAATAATTTGTTTTCTTCAGAAATTGATGATAGGAAATAAATATGAAAATTCCGAATTACTTAATAATAGATTTACCAAGTGATTTACGCGCAATATTATATGTTAGTTTTATATATTATTAAAGTTCCACGAACAAATAAATACTTTTCCACATTAGCTTGAACCAAATCAAATGACAGTTTTATCTGAAATGGTAAAATTCTTCATAAAAAACGAATTAGACTTCAAATCCAATACATAACAAATTTATAATTTTTAGATTTACTGCAATACTAGAACAATAAAAACAAAAGTCACCATACTCTATAAAATAATAAAAGCTATTATGTTATTTAATCTTTAATATCTGCTTTATTCGCAATACTCGCAATACCTAAAAAACAATGCGAGAAAATGCTCAGAATATCGAATAATTAGCTTATTGAGATACACTCTTAAAATTTTCCTAAAAATACTTTACAGAATTAGACGCAAATGCGAAGAAGTTCTCGGAGATACCTAATTTGGTTTAGAAATGCTATGAGAACCAGGGAGGCACTTTTTGCGCTTAACATATTATTACAAAAATGCCGGAACAAAAGAAAATATGTATTTGCATGCTTCGTGAACTTCGAAAAGGCATTCAATAAAGTACAGCAGGTAAAATTAATGCAAATACTGAAAAATATTGCAATAGATGACAAGGATATTCGTGTCATTAAAAATTTGTACTGGAGTCAAACTGCTACCGTAAAAATTAGAAATAACTACACCGATAAAATCTCCATACAACGAGTAGTCAGACAAGGTTGAATTTTGTCGCCAACATTGTTCAATGTTTACTTGACCAGTTATTTAAAAAGACATTTAAGAGACAACCATATAATGTCAGATAATATTGGAAGTCTCCAAATTCTGTTTGATCGTATTCACGAGATAGGAGAGGAAATGGGCATTAAAACAAAACCAAATTTTTAGTGTTTAGTTGTGACCCACATCCCGATGCAAAGCTTTAATTAAACGGAGTCAAAGTTGAGAAATTTCACAAAGTAACATATTTGGGAACTGTGATAACGGATCAACTAGATCCAGACATAGAAATAAAACGTAGAATAGCAATGAATAAAAGTACTTTTATGAAAATAAAGTCATTTCTTTGCAATAATCATCTCAGTTTAGAACTAAGACAAAGAATGGTTAAGTGCTATGTTTGTATATTGTACAGTGTACACTTTATAGTATAGTATTTTTGTATAGTGCAGAAGTGTGAACGCTAAAAGTATCGATCATGAACAAAATTGAAGCATTGGAAATGTGGGTTCAGAGACGAATGCTGAAGATACCTTGGACAGCAAGGAAAACTAATGAAGAAGTACTAAGTAGCATCAACAGAGATAGAGAACTGCTAAAGACTGTTAAATATCGAAAAATGTCTTATATGGGACATATAGTAAGGAAAAGTCGATATAAAATATTAAAACTGATCCTTAAAGGCAAAATAGAGGACCGTGCCGTGAACATTCGTGAATGGAGTCAAATATCAACTGCGGGACAATTATTCCATATTGCAGAAGATCGAGAAGCCGATAACTTAAAAGAATATAAGTTATCTGGCTAATATGCGAAAATATCTAGCAAATAAACTATTGATTGTGTCCAAAAAAAGAAGTATAACAGTAACTACAAGGTTAAAGGGGTTTTGTGATTTCATATGATCAATGGAACATCAAGTATGAAAAAATGACGGAGTACTACCATTTAACAGGGTGTGTTTTTGATAAAGGGGTGAATTAATCTATTTATAATAATTCTTCTTCTTCTTCAGCCTTCATTTATCCAATGTTGGACATGGGCCTCCTCCAGTTGCTTCCACGCTTCTCTATCTTTTGCAATTCTCGTCCACTGCTTTCCAGCTACAGCAGTTATATCGTCTATCCATCTCTTTTTAGCTCTTCCCACGCTTCTTTTTGTTTCTCGAGGTCTCCAGAATATTACTTTATTAGACCATCTGTTAGTGTCTTGTCTTGCTACATGTGCTACACATTGCCATCTTAATGTCGCTATGTTTCCCATGATGTCGGTTACTTTAGTTCTTCGACGTATTTCGGTGATAGGAATTTTGTCTCTGAATCTTATATTTAACATGGCTCTCTCCATGGCCTGTTGAGTTACTTTAATTGTTCTGTCATTTTTCTTGTTATTTCCACAGTTTTCAATCCATAAGTTGCAACTGGTAGTATACAAGTGTCATAGGTTTTTCGTTTTAAGTGAATTGGGATTTTTCTGACTTTTAAAATGAAGCTCAACTTACCAAAAGCAGCCCATGACAATTGTGTCCTTCTTTCAATTTCTAGGGTTTGATTTATCTTTTCGTTTTTAATTGCATGTCCTAGATATATATATTGTTCTACCTTTTCTATATTGGTGTTATCTATTGTGATGTTTTCTAGGCTGCTGCTTAATATCTTTGTTTTGTCGAGATTCAGTTTTAATTTTATTTGATTCGATTTGTGATTTAAATCTTGTAGCATTGATTTTAGTTCAAGGCTATCTGTGCTTATTAGTACTATGTCGTCTGCAAAACGCAAATGGTTAAGATATACTCCATCTATTTTTAATCCCTTTTGGGCCCAATTTAGTTTTTTGAAAACATTTTCTAATGCCAAAATCAATAACTTGGGTAAGATGGTGTCGCCCTGTCTCACACCTTTGCCAAGGTCTATTTCCATAGTTTCCAGATAAATGATTCAAGCTACGAGTTTAACAACATTTTAATGTATTGACCACAGTTACTAAGGGAATGGTGTGTTTGTTTAACACCTTTTTATACTTCACTCACCATTCATTGAACTGATGAAGCTTGTGAACTCCACAAGCGAAAGGTCTTCAAATATAGGAATGGAACTGTGATTTCCTTGTATTATTGCTCCTTTGACCGATATCCTCGTGATCAAAAGATTTTTTCTTTTGAAACCTACTTCATTGTATATATATATATATATATATATATATATATATATATATATAGAAACTTTTTTATTTCTTGGGTTTGTCAGTATGTATGTAAATAAAACTATTTAATTATTGCTTAAATGTTTCGGCAAATTTGCCATTTTCAATAAGCTCTTTATTTTATTTTATTAAAATTACATTTCATAATTAAAGTTTTTGTTTATTTAGTAAATGAGCATTACAATACAGACATAAAATTTCTATAATTTTTCTTCAAAATGACGTTTGGCAGAAGCCTTTATATTTATAGTATTCGAGATACGATTTTTAAACTTTTGCCACTTACACTCATATTTGGACCATTTTCCCTAAATTTTTGTAAACATTGTTCTTTAAAGGAAATAAGGTTAATTTTTTCTTCGTAGTTTTAGGTCTGTACAATAAATATACATTTAATAAGAAAATATATCAATTGTCTTTAAAATGGTCTATTGCAGAAGGTACTAGGACTAAATTTAAGTAAGATATGATTCTTCACTGGCTAAGCATGTTAGGCTTACTTTTTTCTCAAACAGTAAGCTGCAATTACAAATTTCTTTTAAATATATATTCTAGCCTTAATATTTTTAAGGGTCAGAAAGAAATAATTTAAATTAACCAACTTATACTAGTTTGAAGTTTATTCACATTTGTGAACTCCTAAACTTTTAGTTTTTAGTACTGAGGCCTATTAGCAACATACTACAATAGCTATAATAATTACAATATAAAACTACAAAATACATGACAATTTCACTTGTTTTAATAATACATAAAAAATTAAAGTTATATAATTTTAAGATCTATGAAACTATTTTTTTCGTCTTTTATAAGGGGATGGTCCAAATGTTTAAAACATACCTCGCTCCTAATAGGTGTACAGAACCAATTTCCAGCCTCGGTTGAACAGGATTCTTCCAGCGTGGCCACGATGATATCCGAGACTGCATGCAGAAGTTATTCGGACACCATCGCCGTCAATGCCAGAGACCTAGAAAACTACTACTTCCAGACTTCTACCTGCTAAAAAACCACCCTCCTCGACGATAAATTACCAAACGGCTTGCCCCGATTAGGACGCAACATCGGCAAGCAAGCAAGCAAGCCTGTGAGAAATGTGCACCCCTAAGAATTACAACAGGTGTAACAATTCATTAAAGCGAGGTGAATTAACTCGAGTAAAAACAGGATTCACTTCACCGCGCTCCAATCCTTTAGACCATCTCTTTCCCCCCTATAGCACCCTGATGCGCGATAGGGGCACAACTATCAACCAAATGCTCTTCATGTGGAGGTTATGGGTAATGAAACTCCAACATGATTTCCTAACCGAATTCAAAACTCAGGACAGCTCATTGTCGCTATATTTGCTGTTAATCTTAATGTGGCTTATCTGCGAACTAAAATGCAACATCGGCATCTAGTACTTTCTCACTACGACTAAATTTTTCTCTCTTTCTGTTCTTCATGTTGAAACAACTAATTATAATTAGTTTTGTCCGTGTGATAATGAATCTACTGATGATTTTAACCACTTATTTTTCGATTGTATTAGGGAACAGACTCAGAACATATATTTAGGTTTAATCAATCTCAACATTACTCTACCAGTTAACATCAGCAATCTGTTATCTTATTCTGGCAAATCTATATAAAATATTCTAATCAAGTTTATAAACGATTCTAAGATAAAAATTTAAACATTTTGATAATAATTTTCTGTGGCAAAAAGATTCTTTGTCTTATGCCACCTCTCCCTTCACACAAACACTATATTTTTAAAACGAACACCTTATTTAACATAAACAAAAAGAAATTAAAACCAAGATACAATCAGTACAGAACTGAATTGTAATTAAGTTACTATACGAAAGAAAACAAGAGAATATGTTTTTAATAAGATTTATTAATATGTAAGATTAACATAAATATGACAAGACCTTTAACATCCTTCACACCAACATTTGAGACTTGCACTACAATGTCCTCCACCTATTCCTTCTTCATGGCATACTCTACGGCAGGCTTCGTTGTCCCATACTGCACAAGGTCCTCCATATCTTCCAGACAAGCAATCACCAAGTGCCAGCTCTGTACCAATGGTAAGAATTACAAGAATTGCAAAAATTATATATCCCTTCATTTTTAAAATAAATTAGTATATTAATTACTCAAGTAGTACAGTAGACTATGAGTGCAAGTGCTGAATGATCAATATGACAGAAAATAAATATTTATATAACCCAACAACGATTAGATCCCTTTTAAGAACTCTCGATGTGGGTACTATTAAATATTTCCTAATTATACAATTTTACTTAATATTTTGTATTGGAATTACATAAATATTAAGTTCAAAATTACAGCTAATAATTACTTTTTGATAAGATTAAAGTGAGTTAATACCAAATGAGTTTCCACATTTTTTTTCATATTAACAAACATTATTTTTTCTATCTGAAAAATAATTTTGGTTTTACTGGAAAATAATAATATTGTTCTTTACTTGTAGGAAAATCCCATAAATAATTTCTGTTCTTTCTAGCCGAGTAGTATCAAAGAGCTATATTGACTTGACTGACGCCGTTGATGGAGGAAACAACAGGAGAAGAAATGCATAACGAGGAGGGAACGGTACACGAAGAAGAACCAGACAAAGTAGATAAAGTAGACACCGACATTGCAAAAGAACCAAAATAGAGGAATTGAATAAAGTAATACAGAAAAAATGGAAAAGCCCCTGGTAAAGATGGATTTAATATGTAACTAATAAAATACGGAGGAAGGGAACTGAGAAGAAAAATACTGACACTATTGAAAAATATATGGAAAGAAGAGAAAATGCCAGGGGAGTGGGAGGTGGGGCAGATCATAACAATACATCGTCAGTTGACAAGTAAAACTCACTAAGTAACAAGATTAATCGAAATTGACATATTATCACCAAATGCATTTATGGTTTAAGATCTTTGCCTAGAAAAAGTCATTAGCTAGAAACATCGCTTCAACACAGACTTTCAATTTGAGACATTTCATTATTTGCGAATTTTAATAAAATCCCGGCAGGTAAAAGTCATTATTGCATGCTATTTTGTGGGTTATGTTAGTTAGTTAGTTGTGAGTTAGTTGACTTAATCAGTATTTATTATTGTTTGCCATTCTTAAATTGTAATAATTACTTTAATAAGTGAAAATTTGTTTTAAAACTCATTTAGATTCGTTCCTTCCTCTTTTTCTTCTTCCATAGGGATTCCACTCTAGGGCAATTTTTGCAATACTGGAATTATTTTTTCTGAGTGTGTGACCAATCCAACCTCACTTTCTGGACTTTGTTTGATGTTCTACCCTTTTTTGTCGGGTCACGTGTAGTAGATCTTTATTTCTGATGATGTTAGACCAGAAAATTCGAACAATTTGTCATACACATTTATTAACAAAGACCTGCAGTTTATCTGTAAGGGTTTTTGTCACTTTCCAGGTTTCACATCCGTAGAGTAGAACAGACATGCCATTTGACTGAAATATGCGGATCTTTGTCCTTGTGGTATACTCACCAGATCTCCAAACAGGGTTGAGCGTGATGAAAGCCTGTTGGGCTTTTCGTATCCTCATAAGAATATCGTCTTCTGTACCTCCGTTTTCTGTTATGACACGTACATGTTACGTTAAGTTTTCCACATTTTCAATCTGCATGTTTTTGATAGTAAATAGCATGTTGTTTCTTGCATTTACTCTCAAGGATTTTATTTTACTAATATTGATTTTCAAACCTACTTTATTGGCTTCAGTGGAAAATGTTTTGTCCTAACAGGCAGATACCGTCGGCGTATTCCAGATCGCTTAGGCGTGTGAACCACCACGCTAGTTCCAGTCTAGTTTGGAAAGAACATAGTCTACTGATACGATAAAAGGAAACGGAGAGGCAGCATAAGATAAGCTATCAAAAGCATGCTCGAAGTCAACAAAAACCATAGTATAGGGGTGTGTTCCATTTAACCGATTGTTTCATTATTACCCTCACAGTATTAATGTGGTCTATGCAGGAGGATTCTGGTCTAAAACCTGCTTAACCAGCTCAAAATTCAATCTTGTTTGTTAATATTTGAAGTATGATATCCGTGAAGATTTTATTTATTGCGTTAAACAAGGTTATTATTCTCCAATTTTTGCACAGTTGAGGTTGCCCTTTTTTGAAGCTTAATAATGTTACCCCTTTTCCAGCCCGCTGGAATGCGGTTTGTTTTTCCACACCTCTTGGATTCAGGCTCTTTGGAGAGCAAAAGTTCAGCAGTTAGATGCAGATCAGTTTTAAATATTTCGTCAGCAATGTTATCGATTCCCGGAGACTCCCAGAATTCCCGGAGATCTCGTATTCCCGGGTTATGTCTCAGAGATTTGGTAGCTGTTATTATCTACGTTTAGAAAGGAGCCTTGCAAGATATACGTAAGTCTACATTCTGCGAGTTTTTGACAGTTTCATCTGCGTTTTCCATGGGTGTGCCTAGCATATCCTGAAAATGCTCTTTCCCAAGATAGCTTAAACTGTTTCTCAAAATAAGTACCGTCTGTATATAACATTGAGTTTACATTCCTTTTTTTCTTCATTGAGTGTACCTTCAGTTATAGCATGAGTTTTTAAACAATATTACGACAGGTAAAATTCATTAAATACATTTTTTTCAAAAACTTCAAAAATACAGAATATTTTAATAATAACTCTAGAAGATAAGGTCGCTTAAATGGTTTCTCAAAATATATTACCTTCTGTTTTAACATTGATTCAAAAGTGGTTTTTTGACATTTGAATACGCTTTAAAACTCCAATCTTCTTCTTCTCGTGCCACTCCTAGCGGAGATTGGAAATCATCATGGCCACTGCGACTTTGTTAGCAGCGCGCCTGAAAAGTTCAATCGAACTACACCCGAACCATTCACGTAGATTACGAAGCCACGATATTTTTCTTCTTCCCACACTTCTTTTGCCCTTAATTTTGCCCTGCATGATGTTTCTTAAAAGTTCTTAAAAACTCCAATATCTCTGTTCTATTAATATGGTACTTAGTGAGTTTTACTTGTCATCTGACGACATAAAAAGGAAGACCAACAAATGTGTGAAAATTATAGAGGAATAACGTTACTAAATACAACATATAAAATATTGACATTAATAATAAAAAGAAGGTTATCAAAGATCACCAAGAAGACAGTAGGACAGTACCAATATTTATTCACAGAAGGAAGATCTACAATATATGCAATACACACAATAACCAAATAATGTAAAAAGCAAGTGAATATAAATAGAATTGGAAATGTTATTCACAGACTTCAAACAGACATTTGATTCAATTAAAAGGAGCGGATTAATAATAACACTTACAAAATTAAAAATACCACATACACTCAGAAAATTAATAGAAATGATGAACTGAGAATGATGATGAAATGAGAACTACTAAAATAAGCATAAAGACACAAAGAGAAGAGACAGAGGAATTCGGTATAAATAATTAGATGAAACAAGAAGATGGCTTGTCAACAACGCTATTTAATCTAGCATTAAAATATGTACTACGAAACATAAATAAAGGAAATCTCAGAACAAGAGGTGGAAACATTGCTATTATTGCAATGAACAGGAAAATAATGAAAGAAATGCTGGAAGAAATAAAAGAGAAAAGTAATAGCACTAAGATTAAATCAAATAAAGACAAAAATATTAAGATTAGGGAAAAAGCCAATGAAAGAAAAAATCAAAATAGAAAGTTTTGAGTTTGAAGAAGTAAAATACTTCTAAGAACGACTAAGAAAAATAAAATGAACATTTATAACACCATAATTATATGCAGGAAAAACAATGACGATGGTTAAAAAAAATGAAGACTTAATAATCAGAGAAAAAGATTATGACAACCATATTAGGACCAATCAGAACAGAGCAAAATGAATATAGAAGCATAACAAATCCAGAGATTAGGGAAGAACTTAAGAAAGACATTATGTCTAAAATAAAGTAATGTAGAGTTAGATGGTTATGTCACATTTTTCAAGCAGGATGTGTGGCAGTGACATGCGTAATATTAAAATGGAATCCAGGAGGAACAAAGAGAAGAAGAAGACCAAGATCAAAGTGACTGCAAGAAGTTGAAGAAGACTTCCAAAGGGCAGGAGTCAGAGAATGGAGAGAAAAAACTAGAGACAGGAAAAAATGGAGAGATATTGTCAAGAAGATAACATAAACAAAGGGGACTGATCCAACCAAGAAATAGGATCTAGAAAGCACTCGCGGTTTAACCCCACGCTGGGGTGTATAGACATCATATTATGTACATATATTTTCTATGCCATAATTCTGTAGTAGAATCTTAATAAAAAAAAGAAAGCGAATAAAATATATACGCAAGTAGTGTTATTTTGTAAAAAAGGTTTAAAATATACTGCTTTTTATACTACTTATCTAAAACATTCCAGATAAATTAGGAAGTTATCAATCTTCTTTGCCTTTTATCCAGCCAATTTGAATAATATGGAAAGTTTTCCTATAGTACCGGATGTTTCAAAAAAAGGTAACCCAGTCTCTAGGGTAGGTAAAAAACTGAAAAATAATTGGGGATTGCTTAGTGAAAAATTTTTGTAACGCCATCCGTTTTAAAGATACAGGGCGTTGAAGAAAAAAAAATACGCATTTTTTACGATTTTGCCGAAACTACTGGCAACATTGTAATGAAATTTTATACGAATATGTTTTCGAAAAGCAATAGGCGAAATTGGCGTAGATGTAATGCTGGATATGTGCAACATGATATGGATTACAGGTGAATGGCCTGATGAGTGGTGTGAATCAACCTTGATCCCTATCCATAAAAAAGGATCACTAACCATACGCAGCAATTACAGAACCGTTGCCCTTATCCCGCATGCAAGCAAAATCCTGCTACATATAATCAATGAACGGCTAAAGAACTTTCTACTTCCAGAGATAGCCGAAGAACAATGTGGATTTGTACCAGGAAAGGGAACGTGTGAGCAAATACTCAACACCAGACAGATAGTAGAAAAAGCGAGAGAACATAACATACCAATGTTGCTCTGTTTTGTAGATTACACAAAGGCTTTTGATTCAGTAAAATGGGAGTGAATGGG